TAGAAGAGGACAGGGTAAACATTTCGGCGCACTAATTTCTACTAGCAAAACAGCCTGAGGTGCTTAAGCATGTAAGCGGGACATCTAACACATTTGTCGAGACTTCATCAACTGTTAACTATTTTGAAAACAACTTTTGAGTTGTCTTAGATGGTCTTTTAAGGCGCCTTTCGTATTTCACACGATTAATTATCGTTTCTAACGAGCTTTTTGAAAGAGTTCCTTTTCCCCATTTTCCTTTTGAAGAATCTATTTGACCTTGGGCTTTGAGATTGACACAGATGTCGTGATCATCTCTTTAAACGTGATTCTGTACTCAAGTTTGCTTTGGTTTGTTGCCAAATGATTGTTCTACCTACAGTATAATTTTGAGCGAAATTGATAAAAGTGAAGTTGCCAATTTCATTGTCCAAACTTTCAAAACGCAAAAAAGGCCTTTTTCGAATTCTGAAACCTTTCATCGACTTGAAAAGTCAAACACATACACATACACGGCAGCTTTTGAATTGGCCGATATCACGACCTAGGGCACTTTCGTGCTCTCATAAGCACAAATAACCTGCTGCTTCAGTGAGGATTAGATGGTATTGGTGAATCGCTCGCATGCAGACAGGTTGGGTCATCAAGCTTTGTCATAGGGGTTGTCAAAAGTTACTACACGAAAAAAGTTAATCTATTATCAAAAGAGGGAAAATTCAGGAAAGAGCCCTCGTTTTCTTCTAGAGAGAGAGGGAGGGAGAGAGAGGTGGGAAAAAAAATTGTAATAGCAAATAAATAAATAAATTAAAAATATGTAAATCTGAAGCACCCCAATGACTTTTTTCAATTGCTAGTTGCTGGCGTGAAGAACATTTGAAAATTGTCAGAAGTCAGTTGTGAATATTACCTCCTGCATTAACATCCTTGTATTTAGTGCCTTATTGAAAACACTCAGTTCAATTGGTTTTTACTGTATTTATATATGATAAAACTTATGTGGGTAACCCATAAGGTGCAAAGAAAGGAAAATACTAAAACATGGCCTGACCTAAACCCCCCTCCCCCCCAGTACAAACTAAAACCAATATATGCAACTGAAAACAAACTAACAGGATCTAAAAAATCCTAAACCATCTGAAACCATCTAAAACCATGTAAACCCATCTTAAATCATTTGAACCGACTAAAAACATTGACAATCATCTTAAATCTACTAAATCCATTTAGAACTATTTTAAACTATCTAAAACCATTTATAACTCCTTAAATCATCTAAAACGATCTGTAACCATTTGAAACCATCTGAAAGCATCTGTAACCAACTACAACCAACTCAAACCATCTACAACCACCTCAAACCATCTACAGCCAACTTAAACCATAAAAACCATCTACAACCAACTTAAACCATCTACAGCCAACTCAAACCATCTACAGCCAACTCAAACCATCTAAAGTCATGTACAAGCAACTCGTATTTTATCTTGATCGTATTTACATGATAGGTGGGGTGACCTGCTTAGGAGAACGTCTCCCAGCAGGGGTGGCAATTTTCCATGAAAAAATCCCAAGGTGGGTTAACTTATCTTGCTGGGGTTGCTAGACAGGTTGAGATCCTGGGGTTGTAAGATTGTACATTAACACAGGCTATTTCTCAATCACAGGTAGGCAGGTTACCTCACCTAACTAGGGTCCCCCACCTTCATGCAACCATGCCCTAAACCATCCACAACCATCTTAAACAATCTACAAGCAAACCATCCTAAACCATCTAAAACCACCTTTGTACAACCATATAAAACTACCTCTGTACAACCATCTAGCAATACCTCAGTCCAACCATCTAAAACCACCCCTGTACAACCATCTAAAACTACCTCTGTACAACCACCTATAACTACCTCAGTACAACTATCTAAAAACACCTCTGTACAACCATCTAAATAACCTCATTACAACCATCTAAAACCACCTACAGTCAAAGAAATATTATCTCAGCTTGAGATGGAGATAGTTGGCTTATTTAAGAGGCCACCTGTAGATGAGTGATTCGGACCATCATTGTGCTCAAAAAATAGGAGAAGATGGAGAAGCGTGCAAGTTACAAAGGCCATCATTGTTCCTATAATTTCTTTATGGACAACAAAATTACAGTCGATCTCATTTTTCAATCGAAAACTAGAGTCAAAGAGGACAAAATTGCGCAAATGTTATCAACAAATGTCTCACAGTCACACCCAATTAATTGGATTTTCATGTGAAGTAAGAGAGCGTTCATTCAGTACAAGAAAGCGATGAAAAACGAGGGAAGGGGACCCAAAAAATCGAAAATTGAAATTGATTACAGAGGTCTCCAGTACGGTACTCGGAGAACTCTCTTTGTCGATCGTGGGTAGTTTTAAATGGTTTTAAGTGGTTTAAGATGGTTTGTCTGTTTTTAGGGGGTTTAGGTGGTTTAAAATGGGTTTCGGTGGTTTAAGATGGTTTTAGATGGTTTCTCGTCTTATTTATATTAAGCTGGAGAGAAAGTAATACACATGCTTAATTTAATTTCTTTCGACATTAAACGGCTTTCACATCATTTTGAAAGGCTATATCTATGGACAACGCAGAATCAGGACTAAGCTGGCTGGCTAAAACCTTGCACTGTAACTACATGTAAAGCCTGTGTGTAATTAAATAAAAAGGTTGCTCGAAAGATGTCCTCAGATCGTTATTAAATCAACGTGGTTTAGTAACAGAAAAGGTCAAAAGATCGGAAAAATGAAATTACACTAACATCAAATAGCCTGAAACTCTTAACAACTTACTTACATAAAATTATCATGGTGCCTAGGATAAAATGAATTTTAATCATTTTAAGGCCGTGGGAGCTTAAAATACCTTCACTTGGTCTTAAAAATTTCGATATTTTAAATAATCAAAGTGCTCTGTGAGCAAAATCGTGAATTGACAGATGACTTACATGATTTTTTGGATTATGTTTAATGTTATCTGGTTTAGGGAATTTTATGATTGATTGTCATATTTAGAGTACGAGTAGTAGTTCAGTGTTCGCTAATGTAGCAAAGAAACAAAGTAACGTTGGGATAAGAAGGCATTACAATTGAAATGATCATGCTATTACAATTGAAAAGCGGATGATGTGTTTTACAAAAAAAATTATATTATTTTTGTTTCTGGTTGAAAAGAAAAGGTTGGAAGTAAATGTGGGTGAAACGTGAAATTTACTGTCTATCATTGTAAATATTGGAAAATCAAGGCAATACTGTCTTAATGAAAACATTAATGATTCCCTCTTTATCGAATGAGACAAACGGGAACGAGTTTTGAGTGATATAACTAAGGCCAGACTGCCAGCCTTATTTTGGATTTCCGCCTGGGTAGATTTTGGTCACGTGCTAGGCAACGAATAATCAAGAACAAGATAGTATTTCATTTCAGGCCTATTTATCAATTTTGTGTGTATAACTTTCGCATTTTAATACGTAATATTTATTTTGAATCTTCAATTTGTCTTGAAACTTAAAAGAAAATTGTTCTTTAAAAATTCACTGAAAATCGGAAGCCAAAATTATTTGTTTAGGTGTTATTTGATTTTCGTGTTGACCTGTAAGTTCGTCAGTCGCCTGCACTTTTTGTTACTTCAAACAGTCAATGAACCTTCGGATAGTTTTCAAGTTCAAGGATTGTAAATTACAATTTTATGAAAAACGAAGGTTCTCTTATTTCAGTGTGAATCCTCGCACGCCTACCTGTCGCTGGCGCCGCTTGTTGAAACTAAAACGAAAAAAATAAATTCTTATATTATCATATCTTTTTCACCCCACCACTATTCTTTGCAACAAAGGTCGCCGTTTCGTTTGTTTATTACTCGCCGAAAACTATCAAATGCTCTCAAAAGCCTAAAATCGAAAAAAGTTTACAGGAATCGACCAATCGAGCGAGCAAGCGACTGCCATTCTCACATCATATCTACAACTCGCTCTTGCGCATGCGCGCAATTCACGAGTTAAATGACAAATGACAAGTGTTGTAATAGGAATTAACTATATAGTTCGGGCGCCCTGAGCTTTCGCTTTTGGATTAATTATGAAAATATAAAAAGGCGATTCCTCATACACACACGCTGGTATCCCTTGCTTGTCTTTTTAAAATTGCGTCAATCAAATTGAATTTTTTTCGATCATTGTAATTACTAAACCAGAGTGTGTTACATCTGCCTTTGATCGTTGCCCGTCAGGAACACAGGAAACTTCAGTTACCTTCAAGTACGGTGTAGCTTAGAAAGCAAGCTATATATCTATTCGCCAAACTTTTGACATCCGTTTGACCGTTCGGTCAGACTTGTTGGCCAGTCAGAAAATGCGATGATTGTCAAAGCTTTCTCGTCTGCTCTAAATGATCTGTCAGGGCTCATATATTTTATTTCTACCAGACTAGTCCCCAGTCATTTCTCATTAGTCTTTGGAAGAGTGAGAGAGTTGGTGACCAGTGATAACTGCAACACAGAGGTACCTTGAGCCATTAAAGCTAATCAATCGCTACTTAGATCATACAGCTATCAAATGCTATTGCGCCACTGAAAAGCCTAAAATCGAGACAAAATATTTTCTCCAAAAACATCTTTACCCTCGTTACCAGTCAGTACGTTTCCAAAGTTGGAAAATGTTTTTGAATTTACCACTGACCATAAAATTGATAGCCATTTTCTTACAAGCAATTAAATGACGAAGGACAAAGCCACTTGCAATTTCAAAAGCTATCGTTTTTTCTTATCTCGTGGATAGTCATCCATCTGTATTTTCTACAACTCGTTCATCTTGCGCATGCGCGCAATTCACGAGTCGCCTAACCCAACAATAGTCAACTTAAGCGATAAATCTTAGGAAAGCTTGAGATACCGATTATATTTCATTGTATGTTGCTGTATGCTGTGAAAGCAAATGACAAGTGTTGTAATAGGAATTAACTGGTTATTCTAGAAAGTATTGTTGCTATCAGAATTATCCGCCAACGACTACGCAAAAATATTATTTATTCGTTTCTCTTTGAGAGATCCTAGAAATACACTTTGTCATTTGAAAGAGTTTTTAAGTAAAATACGTACAAGTTTTGAACTGACATTTCATCCAAAATTTGTTTCCCCTTACAGAGACTAAGAAGTAATTTGCGTTCTTACGTACACAATTATTTTGACTTTCACGCAAAAAAATATTTTTCTCATCTTACATTTGTTTATCACTGAACAAATAAATTAGTCTTGCATTTTCTTGTGGTTGGAAGCGATTCTAAAAGTTTCACTCTAAATTGGAGCTATGTTTTTAATACCCTTTTCAAACAGTTGAATCGCATTATCCAGTTTTATGGCCATAAAATTATTTCATCCAGCTCGTGAGGAACCAAATGATCTCCTATGGTCTAAACAGCGATCTGCTAAGCACGCCAACGTGACTTCTTCAACAGACATATGACCTTTCACTACTTTTAGAATTCTCTTTAGAAGACACTTTGATATCATTACAAGATGATGAGTTCGTTGACGAGGGTTTAGTTAAACTTGACGACCCACTTCCCGATGTGGGTTCACTTGCACTGGAGAGGGGGTTGCTAGTGCTATCATTTCCACCAACTGCACCATAATCAGATGGATCAGTTTTATTCAAGAGAGGGTTTACAAACTGATTGGTAGAAGACGGTGGATTGGGAGGCTGTGGCCTGACACGTCGCCAAATAATAATAACGAAAGGAACAGCAAATAAACAGAAGACACCAGCGACCACAGGAAACACTATGTCTTCGTCGTCTCCTGCTTAAACACAGAGAGATACTGTAATTTATTTCATAACATACAGAGTAGAATTACTAAATGAAGAGTGGATGGGTCAGAGAACTTTTTTTCCATTAATATTGGTAATTGCCCGGGTAAAATTACTCGGACTCTAACACCGCTTAGGTCGTTTTTGACCTTCTTAATGAAATAAAAGTTTCCCCTTTATATCATAATTAAAATTAAGGATTCAAATCACTTGTATTTTTTGAAACGTTTCTTGGCCCTATGCAATTGTTTTTACGTATAGACCTCTTTTTTATCGTTCAGCATGTGTCATTAGCAGTTCCACATGGATGACTTTCAAAGGACATTGAAAACTATCAAAATAGATAGCTCTATCAATAAAAATATAGATATATCGATAACATTGATTGAGTGTTTACACGATGTTCATAGGCTTCGGTGCAACTGAAAGAAAAAACCCTATTTTATATTTAGCGTTTCTGGTGCCACTTCTGGCAAAGATTTAAGCTAGATTTATTTTGAGCATATCATCTCTCCTCTTTCCTTAGGAATAATTTCAAAGCTTTCTCAATCTTTTTAAAGATAAATGTTAAAACATTGAGTATCGAACTCTCAGAGAATATGATATCGTCCAATTTTCTTTGCACATTTCAAAAATCTCGTGAAATGCTGCGACATAATGGTTAAATGATTTCACTTACCAGGGGTAACTGTAGTTTTGGGTTTCCTTGTAGGGTTGATTAGACACATATTCGGGCAGGCACACTTATGGGAGAGACTTAATTCCTGGAGATAAATGCAGTAATAGACAGTTTATTACTCTCTTCGTATTCCTTGTAATTTTATGGAGTAGGTGTGAATGACCAGTGGTGAAGCCTCTCTACGCAGGTAAAACTACGACTAAAAACGTGGACAAAACTTGGACACACTGCTTACATGTTTAAACAGTAGGGTAAGTAACTCAAAGTACATCGCTCGACAGAAATGACACCTCGGTTTCTTTGTTTATGTATATATATATATTTTTTTTTTGTTTTGTTTTTTTTTTTTTTTCATATCGCTCGTTCTGGATATAAAAATTGTACAGGGGAAAATTGATGAGGATTTCATGACTTACTGATCCCCTTTAAATGTCTTCAAAATTAATACAAACACGTCATTTTATAGCTGGAAAAGGATCTTATCGAGATCTATGAAGGGCGTCCTCTCTTTTCCCAAAAATCTTGAAGTAGTCATCTTTTCGCCGTGATAGTTGTTTGTTTACTTCGGCAGTATGTATGTATGTATGTATGTATGTATGCATGTATGGGTGTATGTATGTATGTATGTATACATATACATATATATATATACAGTGCTCAATACATATATATATAGCAGAGCAGAATAAATATTATGAGAGGAAAAAGGACGTAACTACATTTCCCTGTAGTAGTAATGTAATGTAGTTACGTCCTTTTTTCCTCTCATAATATTTATATATATATATATATATATATATATATATATATATATATAACTAACTGCAGACAGTACTGTTTCGGCCTTCTGGGCCTCATCAGTGCAGTGCTGATGCTAGGATGGAGGAAAGACTATATAGCCACCTCAAGTGATCTCACATATGTGGGATCATCTAAGCCATGCCAGAGTGCTCAAACTAGAAAAACTAGTGAGCATGCATAATGCTAGCAGCAATGACTCATCCTAGTAGAGTGCTCAATTTGGACATGAAAGCAAAGCTTTGTATGCCAAAGAGCTATATCTAATATATATATATATATATATATATATATATATATACATGGCTTTTGGAAAGCACAGCAAAAATATATTTTGTGTGTGTGAAATAGCTAATTTATTTCACGTAAAGCATGAAATTTTTTCCTTAATATTTCTCTTACAAGTAATCTTCACGTCTTTACTACCCTCACAATGACCTTCAGTCACTTACAACATGATCAGCCCTTTGATCCGTCACAACTCTGAAATGGCCTTTGTCATCAGATGAATTGCACACCAGTGATACAGTGGATTTCCAGTTAATACCACTGGACGAACTGAACGAAAAGAAAACATAACATCACAAAAGTATGTAAGCTACGAGTATGCTAACATTGCATTGTAGGGGCCTCTAACTCTGGATCGTAGAAAGCCAAATCGGAGTTTACTGGGTCCAGCTAAGCTTAAAGAGTTGATGACATGAAACCAACTTCTTTTCTTGGCATACTCAACTACAAACCTAACCAAAACGTGTAGTAAAGGCTTGAAGAGCTCTTTTTGAGAAAAAAATTACAAAAAAACTTAGAAGGAAAGGAAAAAAGAAATTCAAATTTGAGGAATGAGCACTACTTTTTCAGCATATATAACCATTAATTTCAATATTACTCGGTAGAAGTATTCTCTTATTATGTTTATGTCGGTTGGGAAAACTCAGAGATAAGAAGTACAACTTTTACTCAAGTTGTGAGTAGAACAGAAATACGAAACAGAACTTTCCCACGAGTTATGAGCAGAGAATTGGCGCGAGTTCGAATATGAATTTTGAATCACTGTTTTTACTTGTTATTAGGAAAATTCACTTACCATCATAGAATTATCTTACTTAGGCTGGCCTCACGAGAGAATTAAAACAACCCACTCAAAACCAGTTCGCGCATCGTAAAGCAAAACAGAGTGGAGCTCACCACCCATAAACTTACCAGGTAAATTAATGAAATGATCATAATTATATCGAAAAATAGTCCTGAGATAACTTTGAGCAATCCGATTGGTTCTTACTTGGCCGGGATGGAAACGGTGATAAGCAGACAAATCCAAAATAAACAAGTTAGGTCCGACAACCATATAATAAACTACTTGCTTACCTCACTAGCTCGAGTTGCATAAGGGAATATTGGCCCTCTGTCGTTGTTGTACGGACTTTGCTGCCGTCTGTCAGTGCCACGACCTCTGGCCAATATTCCCCAGTAAGGCCTCACGCTCGGTTAGTAAGAAGTTAGTTATCGATGGCTATCATGCCAACGCTATATGACTGTATATAAAATATCTATTCGTGGAAGATACCTAAGGTATGATTACCAAAGTAGCCAATGCATGTTTATCCCAATCGTATACACTCTGAGCAAGAAACTAAAACTCATACTTCCTACAGGAAACTATAAGATTCTTGAAAAAATATACTATTTTCTTTTCGCTGGGTAAATACAAATACTCACTGATGATAATGTATCTTCGGGTGTTTGCCTCCCCCATCGAAAAGCGCCGACCTCTGACTACCAATATTAACGTACGCATCATCATGACCTTCAACCCACTGACAAATCTGAAACAAGTTAATGAGTTGGAATGTTCATCACCCAAAACTATATTTTCGGTTTGACGGAGGTTTTTGCCATAAAACACGATGTAAGAAATAGAAAATAAATAGAAATAAAACCACGCCTTTCTCAAGTTTAAAGTAAATCTTCTAATGATTAAGGATCTTTACAAATGAGTTGCGCATCGACATTTTCAAGGGGACGACAAAAGGAATGGGCATAATTTTTCAGAATTCCAAAGTCCCAATGACATCACTTTCGGTGGCCTCAAGTATTCTTCTGTCAAGAATCATTCAACAAAACGACTTCTCGTCTTCCTATCTACTATAAATAACGGGAGAAATCAATTTTTGTTTCATCTGTCATTCTGACTAAACAATACTTTCTGAGTTTCCCTTAATTATTTCTTACCGCCACACCAGAGTGACATGGGTTTGTTTTCTTACTCGGTCCAATTTTGAAAGGGAAGCATGGATTATAGCTGATACTATAACCCCTGGAGTCTTCTGTGCAAAATCTGTTCAAGAATAAGAGACACATGATTGATAGAATTATTTGATCATGCAAGCATGGGATTGGACATGCATCGTATGTAAACCAAAAATCATTTAGAATCTATCATATATATACGCTCTTGTAATCGAATATACCTCAACTAAAATTGTCACAAGGAATACCTGGTGATAATCCTCGAGTGATATTTACCACGTTTCAAACCTTACATTCAGCTTCATGAACGTGTTCAATTAGAAGTTGATGCAAGGTTAAATAGCGCATTGCAATTGAAAAGAATTTAAAAAAAACGATAGAAATGTATGCATTATGAATGCAAACCTAGGCCTCTCATTGGTGTTTGCCAAACTTGTAAGGTCGTATACTTCATCTTCGTAGCCCTTGTAAACACACGTAGCAGGTTCTGATGTCTTCTCTGTCTCATCCGTTACTTGGCATGCTGATGAAGTCAGTATGGTTATGAAACACACGACTAAGCTCAAGCTATGCATTTCTGAGCTGTCCCTAAGAAGGAAAAGAAAACATTTCTGGCACGTTCACACATCCTACCAGTGTCTATTCATAGTACCCTCTCTGACAAGGGAACAAAATACACTTTTATGGAAAGGTTTTAACGACCAAAAAACTCAAATTTGTTGAAGAAATTGACCGACAAATTGAGGAAACTCAAGGTATCGGAAATTCATGTCAAAAAATTGTATACGAAATTCTAAGATAACTATCAATTGACCTGTATGACTGAAATTGACTATTTCTAAGTCATATTCCAAAAAGTTACTCTCTCAATCAACGTCAATCTTGAAACAACGCTCACTCTCAGAGAAATAATTAACAATGAAGTAAGCTTTAGCTAAGCTGCATCTTCACCCTTCAACTTTCAGAAGTAATCAACACTCATCTTCTCCTGGAGATTCCCATGAATAGCTTATGGAAGCACACAAGCCTATCGAGGCCTGTTTCTTGATACAACACCCCGATTCTCTTGTTAAAAGGGAAAGTGACTCATTGGCTCGTGGAGTGAAACCAAAGCTTCTACTAATGATTGAATATAACTTAATTTGTAAATATGCAGCATTTATAACTAACAAGGATTTAAGCCTGACCAACAAACAATCATACACTTCTCTTAGCGACAGCTGACTGATATTCAGCTTTCAAAGATGGAGAATGCACTTTATAAGGTCCTACACTGGTTGTAATGATTTGTTTCTCACTGAAAGAGGTCAGAAGGCTTTAAAAGAAACAAAAATGGCACTTCCCTAAGATTCGTAGCATATAACAACCCTAATTCCATGGTGCAGCTAGACACACTGAAGAATCATCGATCGATAAGGATTAATGAAAGAAGTGCAACACCTGTTGCAGTCACAAAAGGATTATTAGGACTCATTTCAATGAAAACTGAATTTATCTTGAAATTATTATCAAGGGCATTAGCGAAAGAAAGGGGAAGGTAGACTGAGATGACTTTTAAGTAGAGAGATTTTTATACATACCTCTCGATAAAATGTGTGTCACTTGATGCACGTCAGAGATGGAGAAACTTTGATCTCTCATTAGGCAAGGAGAGACATATTTGTATACTTTCACATGTACTGAAGGTTTTGCCTCGGAACCTACGTTCCTACTTTCTGTAACTGGAACTTCCGTCGATTAGCTCATGAACCGTATTCTGATAGTAACTACGAATGCTCCAGGATGTTCATTTCCGGGAAAAAAGTGTTCACCTAAGATCCCTTTTGAAATCTGCTAATAAATAAGTACATGGACCTAAAATTGGCCGATCTGTAACAAATCTCGCGTAAAAATTTATTCCAAGACTCCATCTCCAGTGAAAGTTAATAAGACTCTAGAATTATGACCAACAATTTTACTTTAGTGTACTATTAGATGCTCAACGAAAACATAGATTCTCGGAAAGCGCATTACTTCGAACTTCGTATTCACACCTCATACAGCAGTTGATCATAAATCATGCAGACTAGGAATTCAGTCTCGATGATTTAGCCGAACGACTCAAAAGTCTTAAGAATTCAATATCCTTTGTTTCAAGTCATAAAATCAATACTGAATGATTACGAGCCAACAGGTCACAGTACACCAGTTAATACACAATATATGGATATTCCGGGAGCATCTTTATCTCATTTCTAACTTGAATATATGAGATGAACATGGGATGTAAATGTACATCTAATTTGTAGCCCTCGGTGGTATATAATTATAGTATCAAGGCCAATAGGGCTTTGAAATCAGTGAAAAATATCAACATTTAACAAATCCAATTGTCACGGGTCGGGTACATAAATATTTCACTAGCGTGCCCTCGCGCTGTAACGATTCCTTTACGACTGTTCCTCCAAAGAAAGACTAATTCAGCGGAGGAAGTATATAAATCGAGCCGCTTTAATCACTCTGAATGAGAGAATGAGCCGTTTATTTTAACGAAACAATGTAGTCTGTAGAGTTGAATCAGCCATTATGAATTGTGAAAGCAAATTCAATGAGGTCTTGGTATGTCTTAACTTATAATAACAAACTTTAACTTACGTGTGAGCAAGTAACTTATCAATTTCAGAGGTAAATTAATCGGGATTGCACAATTGTTTCAGAAAAGAAATACCATTGGAAGCTATGGGTTATATAAACACAGCGCAAAATGATTATTATGATCATAAATCAGTTCTGAGAGTGAAAGCGGAAGCTAGCTGTCGGTGAAACACGACCATCACATTCCGATCGTAGACGTCGATTGTATTAAGTTGTGTCGTTGTTTGGCAATATGTTTGGAAATTATAAGGAAAACTACTAGTGTAAAAATTGATAATGTACGCTTATTCGCGCGGCTCTTTGACAGACTACGTTTTAAACTTACTACGTTTGTTCAATTCGCTAAGCTCAATATTTGTGCGAGAAATTTGCAGCAATATTGCGTACCTTTAGTGGCCGAGGACTTGTTCCTCGGTGCTGACGAATAACGAAGTTGATTGAGACGTATATGAAGCTTTCATTCCCAGATCTATTAGTAAATAATTAGTTTCAAAGTTCACTGGTTGCTTACTCGTCTCAGTCTTCGGGTCCGATCTCTCGGGAAGTTAATTGAGACGTACATGAAGCTTTCATTCCCAGATCTACTAGTAAATAATTAGTTTCAAAGTTCACTAGTTGCCTACTCGTCTCAGTCTTCGGGTCCGATCTCTCGGGAACCAGCCATTACAAGGATCGTCCCATATCAGGTACTCTTCCGTTGGAGTGACATACTGGGTCACGCAAGCCTTCATTTCTTACTAAGTTTGCGATTAATTCTTGTCATCCTGTTTTGAAAGATCATTTCAATACTTTTACACTGGAAATCGTTGTATCAGTTATGATGGCCTTTTCTTCACAGCCACACTGTCTTTATCTTCGTTTAACTTAACCCTTCTACTCTGTAGAGGGAGGTCAAAATGCGGAGCAACAAAATGGCCGCACTGAACGATCGATCCAAACTATTTTTTTTTCGTTTCTAAGGCTTGACTTTTAAATAAACAAATTTTTAAGTGCAACTCGCAAAATATCGGTGCGTATTATATCGTAAAACATCGGAAAAAAAAGAAAGAGCATGAGGGCCCTCTTTGGTGTCTGTGTTACTTTGAAATTGTCCCTAACGTTTAATTAGCCTCTGTTTATTTATTTGAAAACTTTGTTATCGGTTATGAATAAACCATAGACTCAATTTAACACGTAAATATGTTTGTATATTTGGCCCCCCACATTGTGGAAGCTGCTCCGAGAAGCAAACATATATTCATAGAATAAAACTCAATAAATTATGAGATCGAGGAACAGATAAATTCCAGGAACAAGTAATCATATGCCCGTTTAATGACCCTGAGGGGGAGGGGGTTTGCAAGCTTGTTTCTTTTACAACGGTGGAGTTTATTTTAAATAGACCGAGAAGTTGCAAAGTGGTCAACAGTAAACAGATAATTATCAGCCTAGTTCGATGGCCTCGAGGAGGATTTTGGAGGCATATGGGTCTTACAATTGTAAAGCTGGTTTCTAACTACACCCAAAAGTTAAAAAGTGGTAAATAGCGAGCAGATTAAAAAAGTGCCATAAGGAGCCTACAATGCTTATGTCATTTAGATACCGTATCTCTTGCAGTGGAGGAGAAACTTGACTTGTTCAAAATGTTGGCTGAGCAGTCTTTTGACTTTCGATGTACTCTACTATGACTTTATCACTGTCAGTTTTCTCCTGCAACAACAGCAAAACGCTTTCCCACTTTGAAATGAATATGAGATAAAGACTGGAATTGGGGTATATTACTAAGTTTTTCCAATTTCTATTAGGGCATATACAGTGTACACTGTGCGTCGTTTGTCACGTTTCGAGCAATCGCAGGCAAGGGATAGTATTTGATAGATGATGGGCTACATAAATTATTTAAACACCATCGGTAAACCTTATTTTCAGCTTTATTCAGTCCACTAATAAGATACAAAGAACAACTTCTTTTACGGGCTGATATGTAGATCGAGGTCACAAAATTCTCGAGTTGGTACAACATGAACCTGCTAACTAAAGGAAAAGGGATGATCCCTTTAAGAAATTACACTGTTCCTTAATCTTAGTTCTTCATTGATCGTTGATAGATTATTTGTACACACCAGCGTGAGAAAAGAGGACTATTTTAGGTTGAAAATCGTTTTTTATAAATTTAACCATACAGTTATTTGTCGTCAATTACGCGTCCATTAGACCAATGTCACACTACACTGGTTGTGGCAAATGTCATGTCAACAGAAAAGCTGAGCAATCAGTAAAATCACCGTATGTTGGAAATCTACACTACAATTTAATAATTGAACATGCAGTCATAAATCCTTCTTTTCGAAACAATCCGTATAAAGATACTTTTTAATCCTAATATTATAATATCTGGACCATGCTTCAAGGCTGCGAAAAGTTTTGATAATACACCAGTGGATACCCTCAGCACTGATTCTCCGTACAAGATTTGTTTTTACCGTCAGGAGGATCCTCCTGTGACTCTGTAATTTCATTCTCAAACTATGAGTAATCTAAGAACGTTCCGGAAGGTGAGTTCCTCCCCAAACGTTCGCTCCCCAAACGTTCGCTGTCTTCATTGAAGCTGGAAAATCGATTTATGGTGGCTGGTTCAGGCAAAATGGGTCGATCTTCTCCTCTATTCTGAGGATTCGGTCTATTCATCCTCCTTACAATCAGAAAGATTACCATGACGATACACGCAACGAAAACAAGGCTACCAAGACTACCTGCAACGACGCTGACCACGTTGTTATCATCTGCGCAGGTAAAAGGGAAAAGTTTTCAGAAAAAATTAGATTGAAATCACTCTCTCGGCAGGATATAACGTTAGTTGGACTGAAAACCCTTATCCATTTCAAGTTCTGAACGTTAAAAAGATTGGTTTCCTGGCGCTTCGTGGGCTCGTTTTCAGTAGTATTGAAGAAGTAGATATTATGAGCACCTAACGCTAGCAACGTCAACGCTTGGTATACTTCAGAAAATACACCACCAAGCTCAATACATCTACGTAAACTGAGTAAACATCTTCCTTAATGATCAATTTCATACGCTGTTTGTGAAGGGTCTGTCCACGAGAGAACCGGGCAGGCGTGACAGATACCATCTCACCGATTTCTTTCAAAATTCACAGTTTATGAGGGTCAATAAGTTATTCAAGAATCCAGAGAAGTTCGGGCTCGCGGCTAATCCCTGGGGTATTAGAGCCCCCACATCAAATCCCTGGGGTAAATTGCACCGCGACTCCGTAGCACAGCGATTCCGAACCTCTCTGGATTCTTGAATAACTTATTGACTCTCATAAACTGTGAAAGTTTGAAAGAAATCGGCGAGATGGCATGTGTCACGCCTGCCATCACATACATTTGGACTCAGATAATTAAGTGAGTGAATGCATTTGCATCACATGGCATGCTGAGGAAGCTAAAAATTACAATGTTAACCAATCTGGTCATGTAAGTCTAATAACGATTTAAACTTTGAACTTACTTGGATTACTTGGACCTGGCTGCTTAGAAGGTGTGATGTGTTTATAAAGACACAGATTGGGACAGGCACATTTGTGTGTTAGTGAGAACACCTAAAACGGCAAAGGCAAACTTAATAGTTTTCTAGCAGACAGAGAGAGAGTTGGAGCTGCTAACAAAGAGTATTAAGTATGACTAGTCGTTGCAAAGACATAATCTGTGTTAAAAAGTCTCTCTTCCAACTATACCAGTCTTTACCCGTTACACGGTGTTCAAGTTATCAGGATATGAAAATCCTCAAGGGCCATACCAAAGTCACGCATTGTTCTATTTTTGACCACTACAAATCCCAATGCAATTAAATGTTTCACCTCCAAATAATGTTCAAGAATAGAAATTATCCTCACAATTGGGCTGAAATTAAAGAAATTATACAAAAAGAGTCAAACTGTGACCAGATTTCTTTACGGGAGAAAAGAGCCCTCTTAATTTTGCCTTGCTCTTAAAATTGGCTTCGCGGCTCAGTTGGTTACAGTTCCCAACTAGTATCTAGGATGATATCAGTCATGCTTCTTTCCTGTAATTTCTTTAACTTCAGGTCGCCTTCGAGGATCGTGTCTTCAGTTAGTTGACCATCACAAAGGTTAAAGGTTATAATCTAGAAAAATATTTCAGCTCAGATGAAGAAAACAATTTTCGTGAGAATATCATAGGTCGAAACCAACTGCTTGTTACATCACTTACAAAAAGCTGTGGATAGTCAACAGACAAAGCTTTAAAGCTTGGACGTTCCTCGGTTTTATTGCACTTTAGTAGTACATGTGAGGTCTTAGTGTAGATATCCCTAAAGCACAAAGATAAGCGGTCTTAAGAATATGACAATTTCTAAGATTTTAAATGGTTCACAAAGCATGAAAACCTAGCGAACTAAAAATACCATACGAAGAGTATAGAATACATTTTGACTGAGTGTGGTAAAAGCCAATCAGAACAAAGGGTTGTATCACAAGGAATCATGGGAAACTCAAAGTAAACACATCTAAACTTCCTGGAGCGCGGCAAAACGCAAGTGACCAAGTCGCGATCGCACATAGTTTGAAGTTGATTGGCTATAGGGGCGCGAGTTCTCTGGACCAATCACATAGAAAAAAAGAAGCAAACTAAAGCAATTCCGAATTGAATTTAAAGTTGCATTCGAGTGACCTAAACTAGTTTTCGTGAACCATGGAGTTGCATTCATAAAGATATAATTTTTTACAGTTAATACCTATAGAATGCGGTTCTTCGTCAACATACCCAGTATATTCCAGCATCGGTGTTTTAGTGTCCTTATCTAAGAGACATTTTTCTGTGCTCTGATGTCCTATATTGTGGTACATTTGCTCTTCCACCCACCTGCAAATCTAAAAAGAGAACTCGACTATTAAACAGCCTAGCGTGAGTTAAAGCTGTAAACTTATATAGAATGTCTCTCTCAATCAACATTTTAATTGCATGGGTGACCCCAAAACTTTTTTGAACTTTTCCTGTGCCTGCTCATATTGATTTTCAGTTGAATTCCTACAAAGTTTAACACGGCCACCGAACTAGTTTTTGCGTCACAGGTACCAAAGACTAACATTATGGGCGTGTGCAAGAGGGTGTAGCATGGCTGGGATTATACTTCTAGCATAAGGGAATGACACTGATTTGTCCAACGACGATCGAGAATTTACGTGATGCCATTATAGAAACCATATGTGTGATCACAGCACAATAGACTTACCGCTACATCCGAATGACATTCATTTCCTCTAAATGGCTTCCCTATCTTGAATGATTCACAGGGGTTAAAGCTGTATTTGTATCCCCTATAGGTTATCGTGAATCTATTTCGGAAGCAACAAAATAGTCTTTAATGTTCGTGCTGTCTCCGGTCTGCGCACATCGGCCACATCCGTATTTCATATGCAGTTTCAAAGTTAGTTCTACCTTAGTTTTATAAATTCAAGTCAAAAAGAGAACATGAGAAATGCCCTCTAACAGAGGGGGGCTAACAAATGAAGTTTCGGTCAGATTTAGCCAGCGCGCTAGAGCTGTATTTGTAGATGCATTTTGCCATAATTAAAGAGTTGTTAGTGGTAGTTTCGGCGATTTAATAATCTGATCATCTGCGACAGTGCGTCCATCTTAATAGCAATGGTAAGGAATTCCATCGGAAATTCAGTTACGCCTAATTTCGGATTGCAAACTTGATACCGTTAAAACAAGGAGCCATGAAAGGTTGTGATCACAGGGCTTCTGATCCTAATCGGTATCGGCGCTACAACTAAATGATAACGTTTTTGTGCTGCTGTTGCTGCTAAGAGTTTCTCAAAGAGAAGGCTTGCCACCTTAGTAGTTGAACAATTATCAGACAGACAAAAATCGCAATGAAAAAATGCCCGCGAATTTCCAAAAGAAATACGATCCTCGTGTGCTACGATTTAAGCAACTGCGAAAACGAACCTGAAAATCTGTCAAACCTTTTTTCAACTTTTTATCTGCAATTGGTCATATTGCAGTATAATATTGCTCTTTTCCTTGATACAAGTAAACTCGCCTCATCGGTGGCCAACCTCATCCAAGACAACTCTGGGATATGTATATTTATCAAATAGATTCCATGGTGCCGCGCGTGTTATCAGTATTAGTTTGTAGACAACTTTAAAATTTTGCAAGAGCAAATAACCGGCACACAAGGCGCAGCTGAGTGCGTCATCGATGTTTTTATCATACATTTTGCTCACACTGAGTATTAGACTAGTCCAATTCCCAGATATCATGGTAAAATACTTCTCTGAAATTTAACTCACCTCGCTGTTTCATTTGTATTTCGTAAGGAAGTCAAGTTGTATTTGTTACCAACTGGATCCATGTGAAGACAATCTCGTGATTGAGTTTTGATGCCATTTGCCTCTTGGTATGTGAGCGAACCATACAGGATGGTTGCGCGCATAAAGCACCTCAACCAGCTCATGGCCATGTTCCCATCGGGAGGACTCCTGGAAAAGACATGAATCACTCAGGCTATTTCATCAGGTTTCACATACAATTTCCATTTTTTGTACCACGAGGGTTATCTTAAGACTGTCCTGAATTTTTTAAATGCTTGAAAACTAAGTCTATCCCAAATCCCTTCATACAACACTGAAAAGAGACTGTTAGCCATTCTAACCATCAAGAATAGCAATCGGGATAAAAAACGAAATTTTCTTTCGATAAATGAACTTTTAATCGTTTGTCTTACGATGTTAGAATCATGCTAATCAATCGTGCCAATTATCTGCCAATGAGGGGGGACTTTAAGAATGTCACAGAGCCTTGTGGGAAGATCAATTAAATTTTATTGAGAAACTCAAAATCCTCCGACACCCCCGGCGAAAAATAATGACCCGTCCTTGAGGAGAATTCGATTCATTGTTAGACAATTCAGTGTTTTGGCTGAATGCACCAAATTGTTTTAACTTTGGAAAACATAAAGTCCACCGATTTTAAATTACCGGTAACAGGAGAAAGCTTTTACATCCAAGAAAGTTCAAGGAATGTTAACTGCTTTTCTAGCAAACCAACCTGAAACCAAATATCGTGATTTTGGCAGGAGTAAAAGCTTTCAGGTTGTACCACAGGCATCCCAAGCACAATTCTCCAAAAAAGGAAAAAGATTAAGTCATGAAAGACTCATAAGACTTATAAGATTTATAAGTCTTATATATGTCGTACGTAGGCCATATAATACTCTGTCTTCTAACAGGCCGAACAACAGTGATGGCAAAGCAAGCCCAAAGCAAGCTATAAACGGCAGAGAACGCCAAAAACTACAACGGACACTCAAGGTGTGAGTAAGTTCAAATAATCTGACGTGTAAAATTTTCATATATCGAAATATTTAGCGTTGTAAATCGACCATGTTTCTTTCCCCATACTATTCCTTATAACGCGTTCAAATTCCCAACGGTTTCTCGCGTAACTCAACCCCGCGTCATATAACGCGTGACGCTTTCATGAATTAATCTTTTGCTTTTTTCGAGTCGTGAATTGCAGAATCGTTTAACAGTATGTCAATATTTGTCTTTCTTCAAAGTTCTCACAAAAAAAAAACCGTACAGTTGGTGCAGATCGACCTTAATTTCCGAAACAAAAGAAAATTTGCTGTTGCAAATGAACGAACCAACAAATAATTTGTTTTAAAATATGTTGAATACGATCATGTCACACAATTTCAGTTAAATTCTGCTGCACTTTTCTTTACTTGTAAGAACTGGCCGGGTCGGTAAGATGACAAAGAACTATCGATAAAGGTTGTATCAACACCAAAACTTAAAAGAAAAAATGGGTTTTTCTTGTCATACGGGTTGCTTTCTGCTCTTAATGCTTTTTGAGGATATAATTAGAAACTTGCATTCTATTTGATTTTCCGAGAAAATCAATCTCGTGTTTAATCACTGATTCATATACAATGCGTAAAGCTTTCGAGCACACTTGGTAACCACTAATTTACAGTTACTAGAACATTTTTTACGATATCTATGAGCCATTTATCATACGAATAGAATTAAACCGATTGTAAGAGATCTGCACTCATGTCTTTAATTCAGTGACAAGGAACTTCTACAGTCGTTCGGCGGCCGGAAGACAACTGTAAAATCGAAACCCCGTATTGTGCGCTTTGGCGTCAGTAAACAACTAGAAACAGCTTATAGTAACATTAATTTATGCTGAATGGTACAGGCGAAAATTATTCTGTGACAAGCATCAGGACAGCGAAAATTTACCTTCTTTTTACCATCTCCTTACTGATGCTCCAGTAATATCAAATCCATCATGAGTGTTTACAAATGTCGTAACTACTCATACCATGAGTATCAAAAAATTTCCATATGTAATTGTTAAATGATGAACTTCGTAATAGACCTCGCTCACCGTGGAGTCTTTGTGGCTCACTGGTAGAGCATCGGAGCGCGGAATCCGAAGGTCTGAGGTTCGATTCCTCACGGAGACTCAGAATTTTTTCTTTGTCCCTGCACGCTCGTTACATGACGAAACACATCTTTCTTTATATCTTTACCGAGCTCAAAACTTACCATCTCTCTTATTCCTATCTACAAATTGTTGAATAGTTACCAAATGATAAGCAGACCGCACTCGTTCCAGCAATAGACTTTTAGCATTTCAACGATTATAGTCAAAGCATTAGATAACACAGAGAGGCAATGGAATGAAAATGAAAGCGGAAGCACAGCTAACTTTGAAAGCAGGAGATCGGCTAGCTCTGCGTAACTTTTCGTGGAGGCCGAAGTGTTCTGGCTTTATAATATGAGAAGAGTTGTTTGTTGTCGAATGCAGCCTCTTGGCGTCATTGGTTCAATGAAGGAGGACTTCTCCTTGATTATTTTGAACTTTGGTTTACTGTACCGCTACAGCGTTCGTCAAGATCGCCTGATGGTTTAATAGTACTGAACTTGCCTAGAAAGGTTTGTCCTGATGCATTGCTCTGATGTCAAATATCAAAGAAAATCTATAAGTTTAAGCCACTTACCCTGCAGAAAAACCAAGAAACAAATTCTTAATTAATTCTTTTGACTGGTACCCTCTCGCGTGATAAGCGAATAACGCATTGCATTCTGGTTCTTGTTGACATTCACTTTAGCGAAAGCTACGTTCTCGTGCTTTTCCACTAATACGGCTTTCTTCGTTATTCTGTGACTCTGTCATGTTTCAGTCATAATTGCCTTCTACGGATGAATGGTAAGTCTGTTTACTATTTTTAAACAGCATGTTACTCTAGAGGAATTATTACTTGTTTGCAAAAGTTGACCTCTCATAGCAGTTGTGTATCAAATTTGTAAGTTGTGAGCTCGTTCTTCATCTCTGAATCAGGCCTTCTCTGTACGGCAAATTGTTATCAATCCTAAACCGATCTCAAAGCAATGAAAGTTCGCGCGAAGGTCTGTTAAAGACGAGGAACGGCGAGGTATAGAGAGAGATACGTGTAGCGTTACTCATTTTGGAAAGGATCAGGCCTCGAAGGCTTGAAGCTATCCGAAGCTCTTTGCAGCTTATTTTAGCTTGCTTCTTGTTTTGTAATACTTCGTATTCTGTTTTCAGGGCTAAAAATAGTAAAGATCTTTAACTCCCAAGATTTGATTATTAATTCTTCCGCTAGCTGCTAGAATTTGGTGTTTGATCAAGAAAATATCTTGCTGGATAATGTATGGAGATATTGGGAGAAGTTACATGTAGATCAATACTAAAAGTTACAGGGCAAAGTGGGATGATTATGTTTGCTGTCAGTCTTTGTAAGTGGCACCACAGGCAACCCAAGCTCCAGCTGTGAGGTGATTATCTTGCAATATAGGAGTCATGGTGAAATTATGAGTTTGCATGGGAATATTTATGACAGCTCCTAGGAAGTAAAAATACAACATATTCTCAATAAAAATACCTCACCGTACATCTATAGTACATTGCTTGTTGTCTGACCACTTATTATGTTGAAAAGAAGCCATTTTAGTGTGTTATCCATTTGTTAGTTTCCTTGAAATGGATAACTCGCTAAAATGGCCTCATTGATACAAATTAAGCAGTCAAAAACAAGCAATGCACTGTGAAAGTAAGTTGAGAATTTTGACTGTATATTTTCAAATGTTATTCCTAGGAGCAGTCGTAAATTTTCCCATACAAACTTTGATATTTTCATCATGACTCTTATTTTGCAAGATGATCATCTCACAGCTGGAACCTGGGATGCCTGTGGTGACACAAGCACATGTTTGATTATCTAACAATCCTTGCAGAAAGAGGCATAGACTTAGATATGATGGCAGAGTCCTCAAGACCACAAGTGTCCTGCCAAGTTAGTGACTGCAAGATACATATCAGGTGGTGAATGGTTACTTGGAAATCAGGTATAAAATGTAAGAACACCGGGTAACCTAAAATACTAGGGTATGAAAAATGTGTGCTTGTTGTTTTCTGTGATGAAAGAAATTGTGACTTGAAAGATTACATCTGTGAGAAATTTTTGCATTTGTGAGATTTTGTTACAGTTTGAAACATAGGCCTCCCAATCAAGGAGTTTGAGATAGTGTCTATGTTATTTATATTGTTGAAGGGTTCACAGTCTATAGTATTTAGTATGACTAATGACAAAGCTGTCACATTGCTCTACGACATGCATTACCAATGACTTTTTCTTGTCAGTGAGCAAGCTTGTTAAAGTGGTTTGCTCCATGTTAGTTTTAAGGCTTGTTTTCAATATTTCATTGCAGAGAAACAGCATTTATTTTACATGTTGCAGTGACAACCAAAAGCAGGATGGAGCTTAAGCCTTCAGGTTTGGAAGACAACAAACTTGCATAGTTACTTACAAGTTTCTCTGTTCTGTGTACATTGCTAAAACTCGTCAGTTCTTGCCACTGAGACTGGGGCAGCTATGTGTGTATCTTCCCATCTTAGCACTTATAAATACAGTAAATAGCACTTTCCATGAGGGTTGAAACTGTCTCTTTCCCTTCTCTTATGCCTGTTTTGAACTTGGCTGTTCACCCTTCCATTTGTTTGATTCACCTCACTTCTTTGGCTTTTTACTGAATCAGTCTAAATTTAATGCAGAATGTTTGTTTTTTGTCGCCATCTTAAATCTACCATGTGCTTTTTTACTAGTGCCAGATTTCTATTTTTTACACATCATCCAATTTGGTGGCCAGTGTGGAGATCAGAGAACAAAATTCAAACAAAGTCTGCTTTGATTTTAAACTAATCAATGCTTTCAACTCTTTTTTGTTACTTTATCTTGCAGTCTTAATTGTTTTAATTGCTTTTTATTGGAATTATCACTAACAAGACTGCTGAGACTGCTGTAGTTTCACTTGTGTTCTGGGCTCCCAAACTTCCATTTTCACTTGCCTATAAAGCAAAATTTATTTGGCATGGTAATTAGACTTTAGTTTTTTTTCCTGCCCTAATCAATAACTGAAGGTACTAAAATCACTCTATTACTTCAATGAGGTAGTTATTTACATGTAATATGTGGTATGGTCTTAAATGTATAATGGGTAAAAGCTGTTTCCATGCTGGTTGCAATTTTAATGTGTTCATAAAAATGTCTTAAGAGTGAGCACAGTGACTCCACTTTAGTTGTGTCCTCAGTTGGCAATCCATTTCAGAAAAATTCTTCCAAATTTACCAAAAAAGGAAAGAAAGAAGAAAGAAAGAAGATGAGACGAAATACTACTTAATTCTTTATCTGAACACCTGTGCTCCTTTGTCTTGTCCTCTTTTCCTGCTATTGAATGGTCTTATTTTCCTCCACATGTCGTGGTAATGTTAACTCTACCAATAGCTTTGGCTTGTTCCCAGTTGTGAATATGAAGAGCTAATTTAAACGACTTCTTGTAAAATTTTCTTGGTTGGCATTGTCTGTGAGATTATAGTGTGTGACCTTCTTTGTCATCTTTTAAAGGGTGAGGCCATGAGCAGGTAATTCATGCACTCCCGTTTGACTCCAGCTTAAACTAATAAATGATGTTAACTAGCTACATGAATGCAATCACTGGTTTGATGCATGGAATGTATGGTGGTGTGAATCAAGCATAAAATGGTCAAAAACCTGGGCGATTGTTGATGTGTAATGCAAAGTCGACTGACCAACTTTGTTTATTTAATGTGCATCAGGTCTAAGATGACTAGAGCCCATGGCTTCTTCTATGAATAGGTGAGGCTGGTCCATTTGATGGCTTAAAAAACGGTTTTCCCCTGTTCACAATGCTTTTCATTGGCTTAATGTGAGAGGCAGAATGTTTAAAGACTTAACATTGGACTTGTGTTGTATTTCTCTGGTTTTACTGATTGTCAGAAGTAATCTCCTTGGATTAGTTGAAGTTTGTTTCTGATCTATGGAGGATTATTTTGCAGGCAATAAGCAGGAATAGCTTCTATTAGAAATTCATAGAGTTTGTTTACTCTACATTTAAATATACTAGATGAATAAGGAAATGATGATAACTTTAAAATGATTTTAATTAATGTGTAATTGCAGTTAAGGTTAAAACTGTACTTAAGGGTGCCCTCTGGTTGAAATCCATCAATAGAGTAGGTCATAACTAAAACAGTCACAGGATCATAACCATTCATATTAAACTGCTGAAAATTGGCAGGTGGCAAGTATACTATACAGCCAACAAGTAAAGTTGAGCAGATTTGTTTATTCTTAGTTAATAAGTAACAAATGCAAAGGCTATCATTTTTAAACCTTTCTTCTGCCCCCTCAATTTTAAAGCACAAAATAAGTCCAACTGAACTGGTTTCAAATATCATGGATCTACTTAAAAAGCTCTTCAACCCTATCGAGCGAAATCGGGTTTCAATCATAAATGTTGCTATGGCAACCAATTCATTCCAAGACAAGATTAACTCCTCAAAACTCTGACACTTTTCAGTCAAACTGAATTTTTCTCGATAGGTTTGTAGTATGTCATGTCTCAATATTTGTGGCAAATTTGGTGATGTTTGCACAAATACATCCTGAAGAATTTGAGGGGGTACCCAGATTTCCATGAAAAATCCATATTTGCAGGAAATGTAATTTAAAGGGAAAAATGTATGGAAATTTGAGTTCTAGTTGGCTTTTAACATAAAAACACAGTATTTTGGCAGAAAAAATTGGAACCAAATATGCCCAAAGATATTTCCTGATCTATATAGTCTTTTTCTTCTTTTTGGGTTCATTGCAAGGTTCTATTTCCCCGAAAGCCCCAGCTGCATATGCCACACCCTCGCCACGGATCCTCAGATCCTCATCGCGCTGTTTAGCTTGTCTCCCGGGAACTCTGTATTTATTGTGTGCTGATGTTGTACTCTCTTCTCTGCCTGTTTAACTCTCTCTGAATCCCTTCAGTTTTCATAGACTGCACAGCTTGATCCCTGTCTTCAGTGGTTGTAATTTATCTTTTTACATTGTTGCAAATTGCCTTGCCATAATACTTTTTTCAGTTTCTCGATTGCAGCATTTGTCAGTCTTCCATTTCTTCCATGCATTGGTTTTCCATCATTCAATTTCACGAAGGATTTTTGAAATTCATACAGAGCTTTCCCGAGCCGCTTTTGATGGTGTCCAATGCTGTCTTATTTCATGACCCTGTCTCAGCCTGCAGTTCCGGCAAGGTGATCCTCTTCCCACTTCTTAAAAGCTATGGACCTTTGCATTACAAAATTTAGTACAATATCTACAATAAACCATAAATTATTGACATAATAACAATGATAATATTAATATTGATAATAATAATAATAATATTATTATTATTATTATTATCATTAGTATTTATGCAGGATAACCCCGTCAGTGTAATAAGCAGTGGTATCAAAGGAGTTCCTGCTATAAGAGTACACAAGTAAAAATACAAGAGGTCTAAAAGGTAAAGATTCACTAAGAAGATATAGAAAAAGAATTATACATCTACATATAAAACTTATCATCTAATGAAGAAAAATGTGTTTAGTCACCCTTGAGAGTTCAATGAAGGATTACTTTGGTTTAATTATGGCGAGGAGGACCGTTCAATTCCATCGCACCAGTAACATGAAAAGA